ATACACGGCGCACCATGAATCCCGACACACACGCCCTATTAGCGGTAAATAAAACGAGAAGACTTGCCGTTCACCACTCCCACGACGACGTACTGCGGTGTCTGTCTTCATCAACATCGCCAGCGAGGTCAGGATGCTCTGCTTCTTTTCATGCGTAGTCATTTGCCCCAAAGAGCACAGGAAGTTTTCAAGATCAGCTGTTTTGCCTTGAAGGCACTTCTCCGTGCAAAGATCTTGCTGAATCAAACTCGTAACTTGCTCCCGAATTTGGTCATCAGACCAAAAGATCCTACCCTCCACTGAAAAGTCCTCAACAGACTCTACGTCTGAATGATTCTGTAAGGCGTCCTCCAAGGTATCTTCAACGTCTTCAGCACTCGAAACGCCACTTGATTCGCCTGATATTGGCTCCCACACACTGTCATCTGATTTTTCACCGCCGGTTGCGTCCGGGTCAGGTAGAGAGAGCCCAGTAGATTCCTGTCATGTTGCCGAAGTGCAGTGTTTGTCCTGGTACTGGCGTCGTTGGCCACAACTGAAGTGCTGGAATAGTTTGTGCTGGTGTTCATCGTGCTCGTTCTAAAATATACACCACCAAAAAATGGGTCCGTTTGAAAAAACACTTCTACTGAAACTTTCGTTTAAACACGTTTTTGAGTGGTCAATTTTTAAAGCCGTTTATCTCGATTACTCTAAATGGTTCGTAAGGATCAGTTCGTTTCGCGCCGTCTCATATGATACCGCGCAAAACACTTTCGGTATACATATAATATATATTATATGACAACAAGCTGGAAATCAGTATATCAACCAACTGCCCCCTACGAAGGGAAACAAAACCAAACAGCAGGTGTGGGCACACCTCGCATCGATTTTGATGCGGCTCGCTCATGTACCTTCAATGCGGTCTGTGTGCGCGCCTGTCACAGGATCCACAACGAACTTGTTGCGGTTGACCCATTTGTGAATGCAGCCCTTGCCCATCAGCTCCTTATTGTTTTCCAGCGTGCGCTTCTCGTTAACGGAGACGTTTGAGGAACACTGGTCGGAAATGATCGTGCTACTAGTATTGATGTGCTTATCGATGAGAGGAGAGCGTGCTTTCTTCTTTCAGTTAACGCCGGTAATGAAATTAAACCATCTACCCGTGTCATGATCGCGAATGCTGTTAAAGTAGGAAATATGAAAGTGGTGCGGCTATTGTCGACGCACTTCTCGGAGTGCTCTGTGCCTTGAGAAGCCCTCGCTGAAGCTGCTAAACTAAATCGAGAGGAAATAGCGCACTGAGTGGTAGATAGCCATACCGACACGAGGTGGGGCGTTGGTGTCGTTGGGGTTGCAATTGCCAATAACCTTGTTGAAATGGCTACATGGCCCAGTCAAAGCGTAGAGATTGTCGACAACTATAGGCTGCGGCTGTGGCCCGAATGTGTTGCGGCGAATGGAAACCGTGAAATGGCCCACTGGGTGTGTACATTGTCGGAGCATCCGCATCTTGGCGCGGCCTTAAATGCAGCAGTGGAAGGAGGCTCGTCATGTGGATTACACAACAGTCCGGTGTTATGTCGGACACCACTCGTACTTGCCTAGATCAGATGAGCGCTAACGGTCATGACGAGGTTCTTAAAGGGGTCGTTCAGCACTACCCAAAGTAGTGCTACGTATCTGGCACTGATATTTAAGCTGCCTCAGCAGGGCGGCTGGATATCGTGCGTCTTCTTCACTAGAGCGGCATTGAAGGCTGCACCAAGGGTGCACTGGCATGCAGCAAGTCGAGGCCATTTTGATATTGTCAAAAGGCTGCACAATTGCAAGCATTTTAAAGAGAGCTCTGACACTCAATCTATCACAGGCGCGGCCAGGAGCGGCGTTTTGGGTATTGTCAAGTGGCTGCATGAGAATACGTCTGATTCAGACGTATTGACTCTGAAGGACGCAGCACGTATGTATGGATGGAGCAGCTGAGGACAATCATCTCGACGTTGTACAATGGTTACATCACAATCGGTCGGAAGGGTGCAGCATACTCGGAGGTAACATACTCTTCTCCTCACCGTCGCGTCCACTGTCGATTGATGTACGTACCGGCGCTGCATTATCCAGCTCGAACCTCATCAATAGATCTTGGATCACTTGCTCTTGATTCATCGCCCACCCATATTCGCTATCATAGCTAAACGCAATCCCTAAGAACTTAGAGACCACACCCAAGTCTTTCAGTTCCACGACCTGCATGTCGTCGAAGAACTTGTCGACCTTATCCTCGCTTGTTTCCGTTACTAAGATGTCGTCCACGTAGATGCCTACAAGTGTCATGCCATCTCTTTCTGTCTTGATGTACATGCAACTGTCGGTGTAGCACTGCTGGAACCCCAGCGACACCAAGATGTTGTGGAATAAGTGATTCCACAGTCGACCTGACTGCTTTAACCCATAAAGTCATTTCTCCATAATCAACACGATGTCATCTTTACTAGTAACGCCTTGTGCTATGAGCTGTGTCTCAGCAAATTCCATGCCTTGCGGTAGCAACAGGATGATGATCAATTCAGCTTCCTTCTTTGCCTTTATATAGGCACTCGGAACATCTCCGTAGTGCGCTGGAACCTTCCAGATACGTGACACCACGAGTATCACTCTCCCTGACACCAACCCCAGACTGCTGAGAATGTGAATGTATAGTCTAGGCATACTCTAGCAGGTCTCCCCGAGCCACCAGGCTAGCCTTGTACCGTTCGATGGTACCATCCGCGTGAGTTTTCAGCTTAAACACCCACTTCGTACGCAGACACTTGGGCTCCCGGCGGCTTCTTCGCCACTGTCCACGTGCCGCTCTACTCCAACGCATCAATCTCCTCCTTGATACTTGTCTGCACGCGGGTCCTTCATCGCTTGTTTATAGCTCTTCGGGTCTTCACGCACCACGACGCTCACCCTGTTTACAGAAACGTGCTTCTCTCCCATGTTGCGCGTACGCATCCGTTTGTGCTGCTGTTCTTCGGCTGGCACTTGCTCGTCGTTTGCTCCTTCCTTTTCTACAGCATTTTTCCTTGCAGCTGCATTCTTGTTTTTCCTACTCGACTTCGATTCCTTCAAACGTTTCTTCTTCTTTGTCGACTTGCCTGTCGAGCTGTAGTCCTTCTTTCTGCAGTCTCAAGGTCATGCGACTCCTCCTCGATCGTCTCCTCCCGTTTTGACTTTCGTCTTCCGACTATTTTCTTCGGTTCTGGATCATCAATTTCAGGTTGCGCCTGGAGTTGTGCATTCTGCTTCGCATTTAAGGTCTCCACGTTCATGATGTGCTGCGTTGTGATCACTATCCTGTCTTTGGGTAAGTACACCTTGTATCCTTTGTTCTCGTCGTTTTTACCAATAGTCATGCCGACTTGTGCCCTTGGTATCCAGGCCTTCTTTTCGACGTCTCTGTATGCAGTGCATGGACTGCCAAACGTGACGATATCGGACGGATTCGGCACCGTACCTGTCAGCATCTCTAATGGTGACATTCGCTTGGCATTGGCTCTGCATGAGCTGCGGTTGAGTACGCACGCTGCGTACTCGACTGCATCTTCCCAAAAATACAGCGATAACCCACTAGCGAACAGCATACATCTAGCCATATTTAGCACAGTCCTGTGCATCCGTTCGGCCTTCCCATTAGATGCTTGGTTCTCTCTTGCACTAATCTGGTGATTTGCAGAACGGATCCACGCTCGTGTACTCTTTGCTTCCATCGGTCCTGAGCACGTGAGCTCTGCAGCTGAATCTCTTTTCGAAGTATGTTAAAACTTCTTCGTAGCGTCCACCTTGGTTTTGGCCCGGAACACTCTCACGTAGTTCGTAGACTAATCAATGAAGTTGATTAAGTACCTGTTCTCGCGTCTGTCCTTGGGTGTCATGGGTCCCTTGATGTCACTTCTAATGACGCCTCCGATCTTATCAATAGGTGCGTTTGCCCCTGTGTCCTTCTGAGACTGATTGTTTTTACTCTGCTTGCCTTGTGCGCAGTTCAAGCTGCTCAATCGTTTTCTACTCGTTAATCTGATACCGGAGCCGTCCGCGTCGGCCATGCGCTCGACCGTGTCGTACGAGATGTTCCCGAGTTGCTTGTGCAGCTCCAGTAGTGCTGTCTCCGTCACAGCATCGTCCAGTAAGTTTTGCTTCCTTTAATTGAGTGACTACCGCACTGATCCGTGCTCTCTTACTAGTATTTCCTGTTGTATCAATCATCAATACATTGTGCCGTCTGTGGACCTCGAATGCCCGCACACCACTTTTCTGCTGTACCATGAAGCTCCTGTCGCTCCAAAAACACAACCTTTTCTTCTAATCTACCGTAGCTCATGATGTTGTCAGGCAGGTGCTCAGCGTAATGGACATCCGAACCGTCCACCACGACTTCTTACCCGTCAACGATCGTCTTTAGCTCCACTGAACCCTTCTTCACTACTCGTATGCTCTTTCCGTTTGCTGCTATGTACTGATCATCACAGTCGACACCATCTTTCAGTAGTTTTGCATCTTTAACCAGATGCACACTGGATCCGCTATCTAAGATCCATGCATGTGTGTCAGCGTCTGTGCCCGTTCCGATTGCCAGCGAAACGTTGATCTCCTTGGCACCGCCATTCTTCTTTTCCGGGCAATTTCTAGCGATTGTCCCACTTCATCACAGTTAGAGCACGTGCGTGTCTCTATGTCACCTACGCGTGATACGGACTCGATTCCTCGTCCAGTTTGAGCATCTTGACTGCCACCGTGGAATCGTCAGTCATGTCCTCGGCTGCCACGGCCTCCATGACCACGTACTTGTTCGTTCTTAGCCATGCTTGCCTCATACTCAACTGCAAAGGCCACTAACTTCGTAGCCTGCTGCAAGTGATCTATGCGCTGCGAGTTCAGCCTTGTGAGCATCGCGCTCTGAAAGTAGCCAGGTACTGAATTGCATAGGCACTGTAGTACGTGTAGATCAGAGCACCCTGATCGCTCAGCCACGTATGTCAAGTACTGAAAATGTTCAGCCCACGTCCTGTCGCGCTACTTCTTAGCCGTCATCAACTGCAATCCTTTTGACGCCGTAATTGTCGTCATATACGGAGCCAACATCCGATTCATCACATGCTCCAGTGTGGGCGACTCCGTCATCCAGAGTGGGAGCGTCATTTCAAAGTATACTAGTGCGGTTCCTTCTCGCTTGCCATTTAGGGTGAGGATTCGGAATTCCTCCGACCAGTCGCCACCGCTCATCTGCTGAGCTGCAACCACCTTCTGTAGGAATCTAAGCCCCCACGTCTTGAAGTCTGCACTCAGGCCAGGGTATACTTCCTTGCCTGTGAAGTTCGCGAAGCTCGGCCAGTCCAGGTCGCGTGGATTTGGGACCTTGAGTCCAACGTTGATTGGTGGAACGAACTGTTCCGCTAAAGGTGGATCTATCCGCTAATGCGTGTTCGTCGCGTTCTGCGTCTGCGGTGTCGGCATCTCTGGTGCTGACGTCACCTGTGGCACTGTCCTCATTGACGTATCAAGCGACCCTACTTTCATTCGTCGGCCTCGAGCCTTAATGAAGTTTGTGACGCGCTCGATTCTGCGTACTTATGCTCAAATGAAGACGTGTCGTCGCGTTGCTTCAACTGCTTCTGAAGCTCCGCCTGGTTTGCCATGAACTGGGCTTGTTGCCTCGCCATTCCTTCGAGGAGTACTTCAAGTCTTTCCAGACGTTCAGAGCTTGCGCTGATGCTCCAGTTTTCCCTTCCGGGAGCATCGGACGCGCTTGTCTCAGAATGCGTCCCCTCGAGCAACTCGAACGGGTCTGCAGTCACGTTCAGCCCGTGGACTCGGTATCGTGGACATCACGCGATTTTGGTTGCTGTGAGGTATCGTCGGAACCCGTTGGGCTCATAACCTGTTGGGCGCATTACTTCTTTTATTTGTGGAAGATTGAAGACTGATTGCATTTAGCTGTAATGTAAGCCTGTTTTGGCAATCCAATATGCATCCTCTCCTGTGAGAGGTTTCTTAACTGCTCATCCTTCTCTTATTTCTCCGCCAAAGCTCATCTTCTCGTGAAGGGATCTTCCCAATCTCATCCTCTTCATACGACGTCACAAGATCTCCTGATCTCATGCAGATCACCTGCCAGTTCCGACACGCTGTGTATACGACGAGAATAGCTACACTCCGCGCTATAAGTTATCGACAGGGTAAGTTCCTGCCAACAACTCGGCCAATTGTTTTAATTCAGAAATGCTGTATAGATATGACACGCAATTTATTGGACAAAAAACTCTACACGTGTTAACGACATCGATTTCGACATCCTTAACAGGGCTGATATACAAATGAACCGATTTGGCACTGCGACAAAACTATCGGCAGATAAGCGTCCATACAAAAATTAAGATTATTAGAGTGATGGTCACTTTGTCGACAGCCACTGGTTTTGTGGCAGGCAGCGCTTCACGCGCCATTCAGAGTTTTCTCGGCTGTATGGCAAGCAAGCCACGAGTGCAGGACGAAGAGCGCGGGCGGATTAAGGGGCTGTTTGAGGCGAACTTGTCGAAGAGCCAAATTGCTAAGCGAACGGGGCGCTCAAGGGGGACGATCACACGCGTGGTGACGAGCGTACCAGCTGGAAAGCGTACGGTGCGGCCTCCTACCACTTCGGAGCGTGAAGTACGCCGTATTGTGCGCACGGCTGCTGCTGGCGAGTGCAGCGCTGCACGGCTGAAGGAGACGCTTGCTCTCAAGGCGTCTGTTCGCACCATACAACGCCTTCTGGAGCGCGTAGATTGGCTAAAGTACAGCAAGATGGACAACACGCTAGATCTGACGCCAGCACACAAGAAAGACCGTCTAGACTGGGCTAAGCGCAACTTACTGAAGCCTAATGGCTGGGTCTCTACAATTTTTTCAGACGAGAAAAGGTGGAACCTTGATGGCCCCGATGGATATCAGTATTACTGGCGCGATATACGCCAGCCCGTGCGCCACACTGTGCGCCATCAAAATGGAGGTGGCTCTATAATGGTATAGGGTGGGTTTAGTGCTACGGGAAAGACGGAGTTGGCTGTGCCTGTCGGCCGCCAGAATTCGGGCAGCTACGTGTACACCCTGTCGGAGTATCTTCTTCCGTACGCGCACAAGCATTACGGGACGGAATTCACGTTCCAACAGGACAATGCCAGCATTCACGTGTCCCAGAGAACCAAGGAGTTTTTCGAGGAACAAGAGCTACAGTTGATGGAGTGGCCTGCACGTTCTCCTGACCTAAATCCTATTGAAAACCTCTGGGCCATCATTTCCCGGCGTGTCTACTACAATAGCCGCCAGTACCACAATGTTGCGGAGCTCACGATTGCTGTTTTAGCTGCCTGGAAAGACATACCTGAAGCGACGCTTGCAACGCTAATTAGTTCGATGCCTAAGCGCTGCATCGAGGTGCTTGAGAAGTGTGGTGGTAAAACTCACTACTAATGCAACGTGACCATCACTCTGATCATCCTAATTTTTGTATGGACGCCAATCTGCCGATAGTTTTGTCGCAGTGCCAAATCGGTTCATTTGTATATCAGCCCTGTTAAGGACGTCGAAATCGATGTCGTTAACACGTGTAGAGTATTTTGTCCAATAAATTGCGTGTCATATCTAAACAGCGTTTCTGAACTAAAACAATTGGCCGAGTTGTTGGCAGGAACTTACCCTGTCGATAACTTATGGCGCGGAGTGTAGTAGTACAGTATTAATAAGTGCCGCCACGGCCGGGCACTCGCCCAGATATACATATCTGTACTTTTTCAATCCAGACGGTATGCATTTGATTTAAGCTCGAAAAAAACACTAGATATTCACTCTAAAGATTTGACAACATCCAAAATCATCCGTTTTAATGGGCACACGAGAAATACATCCATTTTGCACTAGATTTTAATCTGTAACCGATCGACCCTACTCCGTGTGACGTCACGGCGATCCAGGGCCGTGCTAAATGGCCATTTCGAGATTGCGTGCTTTTTCCCTCAAGGTCGACAATGCAATGAGTGCGTCGTCATTCAAGCCTTAAATGACTGCTCGAATCCGAAACGTCGGTGGGAATTTGCGGAGTCGTTGTACCCCACCATCGAGATGAATTTGAGCAAGTTACCGAAGATTTATTTGTAGAGTGAATATCGAAGCTCTCATTGGCTGGGAAGAAGGCAAACACGATTACATTTAATCGATTACAATTGCAAGCAGGAATCACACCGGAATGATAGGATAGATTCCTGTCACTTTTCCGAAGGGGGGTGTCCTCTGACGCTTCGTAAAATTAGCATCGAATTGAAATTGATGCAACAAACGCATCACTTCTCCGACGACGGATTGCTGTTGGCTAAATCGTTAAACTAACCTGCTATGTGTTAACTTGATCACGACACCGGAATTATATGCATGTAACACAGCACTCGAGTTGCGATTCCATGGTACAGTCGTGCACCTCGTATTCGGCGGGGTGGACCATATATAGTCTACGAGCTGCGAAGGAACAGATGGAATCCAAATGTACTTCTTTGTATTACCTTAATTAAGTACAAATCTCAATTACATCTTCGACACAATACCAGTGTGATGGCCAACCTTCTGAGCACCACTTCATCGCTGTATAAATATTGACGGGGGTATACTTCTCGCCTTTGTAAAATATGTCCAGCTCGGCCTCCTGCTTCTTAGTACGATAGTGGTCCTTGAGACTTTTAATAATCCCTTGGTCAATTGACTGCAAGGCGGCGGTTGTGTTGGGAGAAAGCTAGTGAGCAACGACGTTAGTTAACTCAACAGGTTCGTCGTTATGAGACGACACTCGTCGGACGAGCGCTGCGAAGCCGTGCAAAACCTTTTGCGGAGAGAGTGAGCATTCGGGACGTCTTCGTAGTCCCTCTTGCGCTTTAGAATGCTTTGGAGGGTGGAGCGCTTTTCGTGGGTTTGAAACTCTTGTGTGGCCTACTGAGTGAGCTGAGACTGTGTCCATGATGGCTCTGTGGCTGCCTTCCTGCACAATGTTTGCTTATTGGCGAGATTCAACGTAGAATAGGCGGACGGGCGACGTGTCATGGCGTTTTGCGACAAAATTTATAATGAGCTGTTGTATGGTGTGATACATCGTGGCGGAAGTGCGGCGTTTCATCCCCCCTCGAGGAGGGGAATACCATTGAGGTTATTTGGTCCAAAGGAGATGGGCAACCCATTTGCGCAATGCATGTGGCGCAATCATTAGATTGTGCAGGTTATTAAGCCATACCGGGGCCGAAAACGAGGTGCACGACTGTATGCATAATGCATACAGTGCATAATGCATTTTGAACGCGTTCGTTAACTACTAGTAGTATAAAAAGTAGTACTAGTATGAGTAACAACAAAAACGTAAATGAATCTTCGATTACATGAATGAAACATTTGGTTAAACGAAAAAACTGTTTCTATTATTCGGTAGAGTCTCAGTGACTAATAACACGAGGATGCTAGACAGACAGTCAAAAATGGCAGTAGGATAAAATCTATTCGCAGTCAAGCACAATGCGGCCAGCCAGCTTACCAGCTGCCATGCGCTCGAACACACTTGGCAGGTTATCCAGCTTCTCGATGGTGTAGGTGGTCGACACGTCGCCTGCAGCTGCCAGCTTTAGAGCTTCGATCGAGTCCTGACGGTTGCCAACGTATGATCCGATGATGCGGTGCGAGTTGAGCACGGAGCCAAAGACCTCAGCCATAATATACGTGTCCTTAGGCAGACCAACCAGTACAACGGCGCCGTGCGGACGGAGGAAGGACAGGGCGTCGGCGTAAGCGTCACCGCCTGAAGCCACAACAACGCTGGCGTGAGCTCCACGACCCTCCGTAGCCTCAAACACCTTGTCCTTTACGTTGCCCTCCTTGAAGTCAATAAAGTCCTTGATGCCGTACGAAGCGACCAACTTCCGCTTGTCGTCGCCAGAGTCGATAGCGATCACGCGGTAGCCCATGGCACGGGCGTACTGACAGGCAAGGTGACCCAGACCGCCACCGGCACCCGGGATGACGACGAAGTCACCACAGCTGCCCTCAATCTCCTTAAGAGCTTTGTATACAGTCACACCGGCACACAGAATGGGGGCGGCGGCGTGCATCGGTAGATCCGTCGGGATTGAAGTCACGTGCTCCGAGAAAGACACGCACCATTGCTGGAACGAACCGTCAACGGTAAATCCATGCAGGTCGGCGTCAATGCACGTGGATTCGTGGCCTTTACGGCAGTCCTCGCAACCGAGGCAAGAGTTGGCCAGCCACTTGACACCAACCGGGTCGCCGATCTTGAGACGAGTGTTGGTGTGTTCGGCGATAGCAGCGACGTATCCAGCACCTTCGTGGCCACCGACCAGAGGCAATTTGTTGTCCAGAGGCCAGTCACCGAGCCACACGTGCAGGTCCGTGTGGCATACACCGCTGTAAGCGAGACGGACGAGCACCTCACCGGGCTTCAAGTCTTCCGGTTGTGTGACGGGCCAGTCCTTGCGCACTTGAAGGGGGTCGTTGTTCTTTTCAAAGACAACAGCAGTCTGCGTCTTGGGGATGTCGTAATGCGACTGTGACTTGACCGAGAATGATCGGGACTGGCAACGCGGACACGTGCAGCCCATGGAATGTTGCACACAGTTGCCGCAACGGCACTGCATGTTGTGAGCTCCGGCAATCGACTTGCTGGCGGCCGTGGCCATGCGGCGAGCGGGTTGGCTGAAACGGGACACCACGCGCAACATGGTGGGCAGGATCTAAAGCTTGGGGAATTTACTGGATAAGCAGTAGCCGGTAAATGGCAGAATGAGCTCTGCAGTGAAGCAATGGATGCTGCGGCATTGGCCTTTGCAAGCAGGAGCTGCAGAATTCGGCATCTTTGTGTCCAAGCGGCACGAGGCAGCATAGAAACCTCACCCCACACCAAGCAGCGTTTTGCATGTGTCCCCAAAATGCGTTGCCACCTTTTCGGCAGCATCTTGCAACTTGCAGCAGCCCAAATTTGTGTCAAAAATATGGACCGTTTGCTGTTAATTGCGAAAATTGCAATAACTGAGCCCAAACATTTCCGACATCACTCGTTTTCTGTCATTATCAACTTCAAGAAGGTCAATACAAATATCAAGTCAAAATGAACTCAAATTCGTTAGCATGTCAAAGGAACACTCGCGTCGAGCAGAGCTGCTCTCCACTTCACTACTGCTTCTCGACGCTTCCTCTCGCAACAGCACACACTGAACACGTCGCAGCCATCGGGTACTGCCTTCAAACATCCACTGCTTTACTCGCAGTCAAGCACAATACGGCCAGCAAGTTTGCCATCCGCCATGCGCTGGAACACATCCGGCAAGTTTTCAAGCTTCTCGATCTTGTACGTCGTGTTCACATCGCCCGCAGCCGCCACCTTCAAGGCCTCAATCGAATCCTGACGGTTGCCAACATACGAGCCAATGATACGATGCGCGTTCAGCACAGAGCCGAAGACCTCTGCCGTGATGTACGTGTCCTTAGGCAGACCCACAAGCACAACAGCGCCGTGCGGGCGTAGGAACGAAAGCGCGTCCTTGTACGCCTCCCCACCAGAAGCCACCACGACTGTGGCGTGGGCTCCACGGCCCTCCGTGGCCTCGAACACCTTGTCCTTCACGTTGCCTTCCTTGAAGTCAATAAAGTCCTTGATGCCGTACGAGGCAACCAGCTTCCGCTTGTCGTCACCAGAGTCGATAGCGATCACGCGGTAGCCCATGGCACGGGCGTACTGGCAGGCAAGGTGACCCAGACCGCCACCGGCACCCGGGATGACGACGAAGTCCCCGCACTGTCCTCCGATCTCCTTCAGAGCCTTGTATACAGTCACACCGGCACACAGAATGGGGGCAGCAGCATGCATCGGTAGATCCGTCGGGATTGGAGTCACGTGGTCGGCAAAAGACACGCACCATTGCTGGAACGAACCGTCAACGGTGAAGCCGTGCAGGTCGGCGTCAATGCACGTGGATTCGTGGCCCTTACGGCAATCTTCGCAGCCGAGGCAAGAGTTAGCCAGCCATTTGACACCAACCGGGTCACCGATCTTCAGGTTTGTGTAGCTGTGGTCGCCAATAGCAGCCACGTAGCCAGAACCTTCGTGGCCACCGACCAGAGGCAGTTTGTTGTCAAGCGGCCAGTCGCCGAGCCACACGTGCAGGTCCGTGTGGCATACACCGCTGTAGGCGAGACGGACGAGTACCTCACCGGGCTTCAGGTCCTTTTGTTGCGTCACAGGCCAGTCCTTACGAACCTGCAGTGGGGCGTTGTTATCCTCGAACACGACAGCGGTTTGCGTCTTTGGAATGTCGTAGTGCGACTGCGACTTGACTGAGAACGAGCGCGATTGGCAGCGCGGGCACGTGCAACCAGTGGGGTGTTGCACACAGTTGCCACAGCGGCACTGCAGGTTGTGCGCACCAGCGAGAGACTTGCCAGAGGTCTGCATGACACGGCGAGCGGGCTGGTTGAAGCGAGACACGATGCGAAGCATGATGAAAGAGCTTGAAATTAGAAAGGGTTACTTGAAAGGGTTACTGGGGTGACCAGCAGCCGGAAAATTGGGGAATGAGTCGAATCAAGTGCGTGGCAGGCACAAGGGCAACGGCTCTTGGCGTCCCAGGGCAGGTATGGATACTATCTTGTTGCCAACTTCAATGTCCAGTCTTGCGTGTCGGCGGTAGTCGCTGGCTGCAATGACTGGCATGCTGAAGCGTTGCGCACAACTTCAATGCACCCTTCTGCTTTCGGTCGCTTACGGTCGTAGTGAGCCGGGAGCAGCTTCAACCAGACCGTGAAACGTCGGTCTGGAACGGCAGTGCTCTGCAGTCGATGCGAGATTTTGTATCCGCTGCAATTAGCTTTGCCATCACGCGAAATGCAAGGCAACGGATTGAAATGTAAGGCATGAAGAGAAGGAGCTCTTCAACGCGCGACTAGCACTTGGTTTTAGCCTTTGGCGGCTGTTCGGGGTTTAGCAAGTGAAACGCAATTCACACCTTTTCCATTATGCTGCGTGTTTTTGCATTTTGATCAGGGGTTAATCAAAATCGGTGAAGTTAATATTGTGAAAATATCACCTGTAGACCAGTTAATATAAAAAAATATCACCTAGTATTTTCTTCTGAGACAATATGATATTATTAATATCAACTTAATATTAGTTAATACGATATTATATTTTTCAATGGTTGCGTAATCGGGCTACATTAACCAATCAGATGTCGTTAACGCTCGACTAGCTGAAGTATTACTAATCAACCGTGAGTACCGGGACAATTGTGAGTGACGGCAAGGTTGGCGTTGTGTGGTGGCACTGCTGAGCGCATGAATCTAGTGCCACAGGCAGCAAGTTTATTAGACGCACGATGTCGACGAGGAGATCGGTAGAGAACAAGAACAAATGTCTTGATTTCGCTTTATCAACGTTAAACAGCTGCAAGCGTTTGCAGTTTTCCATCTCGATCGCCTTTGTCTGTGTCACAGTGAAATACTAGAGCAAATACTCGTCAGTCTTAAAGCCTACTGCTTTTCTAGAACCTGATCGAAAAAGGTATTTGGCTCCGCTCGGTTCACAGAGGTGAGCTGGCAAGAAACGTACTTAAGTGAGAAAATATCATAAAATATCATGTAGTATCTAATATTTTTCAGTTCTCCGAGCTAATATAAAAATATTATGTTAACTTTTGCAAAAATGAGTTACTATTAATATTTAATATCACAAATAGTACTATTACTATCAAAAATATCATATGATATTTGGTTACCATTAGACTTTAGCACAACCTTGGCACAAACTAAACAGAAAAACACGCGTATTTCGCGTAGAAACAGGACAAACGCGGAATATTACTTCGAAGTATTTATTGGCAAAGAATATGTTATTAGTAATACATGTTCTAATACTTTTATCGCACTAAGTATTTAGCCTTCAATTGTAAAAAGAAGCTGCTCGATACCTGTTTTCGATAATACAATGCATCTACAAAGATCACTTCGATCGCCAATGCATTTCCATTAAGCTTATATGTACATAAATGAAGTACTCTTCTCAGAAGTCCTGAGTTTTCAACGGCTTGTTGAAATTCGAGCGCTGTCGTCGCCGAAACAATTCACTGAACAGCAGTCGGAGCTCGTGATGCGCAACGACCACCATCTAAAGTTGAGGCTCTCAACAACCCTCTGCACTGCAGACTCTGCAGTTTGTGTCTGTAACGGGCCAGGTATTTAACCCCTCCAAGATCACTAGCTCGCTCTTCCCACCAGCACAGAAAGCTCCCCACACCATCACACTTCCTCCTCCACTTTGGCGACGAGAGTAAATTTGCGTTTCGAACCTCAAATCGTGCCAGTAGTACTGTAGCCCGTCAGGCCCATCTAAATTAAACTTCTTCTCGTCGGAGAACACGACTTGAGACCATTCCACAGCGTCCCAGGTCACCTTCTCTCTCGCCCACTTAAGACGATTCGCCTTTATCTCTTCGTGAGCACAGGTGAAGCCATACGCTTCTCGTACCTAAACCCAGGGTGCTTTGAAGAAGCTCTCGAATTCTACGAGCACTCAGGCCTAGCTGAAGCTGTGATTTAAGCTTTGGAGCGCTCAACTTGCCCTTCGAAGCCTCCCGGAGTAGTCGACGCTCAGCAGTAGGTGTCAGAGTTTTTGGTCTCCCTGTGCGTTTGATGGTGCTGTAGGTGTCTGGACTAGTGATGTACGCGTGCACAAGAGGCCTAGATCGTCCTAATGTCTTTGCAATGGCTCGTTCGCTCAAACCGCACTTGTGAAGTGCCGAAATCTCGCCTTTTTCCTTCTCGGTCAGCTTCACGCCTCTAGGCATGCAGTCAGCAGTCAATTCCGCACAATTTCTAGTAAACAGAACATGAAAAGATACGTTAAAATCATTATTCTCATATGCGATCAAAACCACGTCAGTAACCTGCTCAATACGGCGATGGCAGTATACTTATCGCCGCCTAGATGAGGGGGTCCACCACGTATTTAGTTGTGTCTACGGCTGTAGAGTGCTGAATGGTGTCAATCGACCACCAATCGCTTTGTTTTAAAAGGAGCTTTCCATTGGTCCAAACAGGGATTGCTTAGCTAGATTATTGGTCAAAATAGGATGAAAAGTCTGGGTGGCAGTATAATTACCGCCCGCACTGTAGTCCAATTGGCTAATAATGGGTCTGGCTCATCATATATCAGCCAATGGCATGACAACATTTCAGCACACGCTAGTTGTGCGCCGATGCACCTATTTATGTAATGGAGGGGCCCATCACATTACCCCCCCCCATCTTAAAGTTGCACTTACGCAACATAAGCGCTGATGAAGAACATTGAAGAAGACTGCTGGGACGGCGGAGGTGGCAGCAGTGACACTAGCGATATCAAGCCACTAGCGTATCAACAAGAGACACCACACACGGCAGCGAGCGTGCAGAGCGAGAAGCCATCTCAGAAAACAGCTTGGAGGCCACCGGCGCTGGCGCTGGTGTCGACACACGTGGGCTTTGATGTGCCAGGCGAGGCGGGACTAGGTTCTGGTGGAGTGGAGCTTGGATCTTTGCTCATGTCCTGAGGCACATCGTGTACTCTGCGACGTCGTGTCCGAGCGGGTAACGAATCATGCTCACGCGCAGTACGCGTGAGCTCGATTCCCACGAAGATCAAACTCCGCGACAAGCGCACGTGCAAGTGTTTTTGCAAGGAAACTCTGGCACGATGATCACCACAGACGCAAAGACTGTGCGCCGACTGGAGACTTCCTTGTGCTTGGGGATACACCCATCGTGAGACGTCCACGATGTTCCAACAGACACGAGGATCACGAAGACAGCGCGCCAGGTACTTGAGACCGCGAATACGGGGACGACAACCACTTCACTCAGTTGACTGGGCGACGATGTGCAACTACACAGAGTACGGAGACGTATCATGTAGACCAAGGCGACTGCGACGTCGGAATATAGGCGTCCTGCGAGCTTGGGTTTCACTCGTCGTCGTGGAACCTCGCGTCACTTACGCACGCACTCACTCACTCTCACTCACTCACTCACTTGTTCACTCGGCTTACTCACCGAGTTGGTCAGCGATACAGTGCCGAGTTCTCGTGTAGCTGGTCACCAGCTCGATCCCGTCGACTCCAGTTTTCTTCTTAATCATCACGGCGAGCGCCTCCGTGTACCCGCGGAGGCTGGTCGCCTTCTTCACTGCGGGTATCAACACCCAGCTCACGCTCGCTTCGAAACTGAGTGTCTTCTCGTATTCGTTCACGATATCGGGAACGCCTTCCAGCAAGCGACTACGCGGCTCCCAAGTATCTTCACCTGGGGAGAGTCCCAGCCAACGCACGCGATAGTGTTATTCCTTGTCCCGCAGGGCGCGACCCTGTGGAAACGCTTCAGTGTGCCCGTCGCGGGTAGTATGGCACTGGCGAATGTCATGGTCGACGATCCGCTCAGCGATACAACGCTGAGCACCCGAAGAATTGATCAAAGGAGGAGGACCATCTCGCTGGAAGCTTACCTCGTCGCTCGAGGACGAATCAGCATCCAGGATCTTGGACGGATGGTACTCCTCTAAACGTCCGACGTAGAACGTCGGATGTAACCGTAGTGTCGAAGCAACGTCGAGCGTTTAGGCGTCACCAATAACCTTGGTTACCGTAAATGGCCCAATAAAGCGCGGCGCGAGTTTGTTCGCGCCGAGGCTGGTGACCGCTGAGTTTCTGATACCGTCAGTTGACAGGAGCACTCGTTCACATCGTAAATGTGGCCGTGTTCTTGCGGCCCGTCTTGTCAGCATTCTCCTTCTGCTTTTCCACTGCGTCCTGCAGTGCGTCTCAAACATATCAAGTGACCGCTTGGCGTTGTAGTACGAAGTCGGAGACGGCTGCGGAGTCGATTGGTCGCGCCGCTCGCTTCGGCGCGTAGTTAGCTGACGCAAGTGCGCTCGAAGCAGTTCTGGGGATGATCGGGTTATGGTTAGCCCAAGCTGCGAGAGAGGACGTCGCGGAACGTGTCACTGCGTTGGCCGACGTGGGGACTGGGGATACACTCGAGATATTATTAGCAACCGGTGTATGTACCGGTTGACCCAGTACCGGTGTTGCCGCCGGAGACGTCGGAGCTGGAGTAGACGGATTGTCGACAGCTTCTTCCCCACCCAGAGTGGAGACACACGGCGCTGTGAGATGGTTCAAGACGAGGAGAGCAGGGACACGCGGGTGTCGCGCGTTGTTAATGAAGAAGGGCGTCAGTCCGGTCGATAGGTGTACCGCGTTGCTCAGCGCGAGCTCGACCAGACGCAGAAACCAGTTCCAGCTGGAGAACAACGTCGCGTATCTTCGAAGGACGTCTTCGAGGACGCGATTTACGCGCTCCGTCTGGCCGTCCGTTTCTGGATGGGCTGTCGTAGACATCAACAGCTTCGAGCCCAGTAACTCGAAGAGCTTTGACCAGAAGGCCGACGTGAAGCGCGGGTCGCGGTCGGAG